ATCCTATGCTGTCATATGCTCATCCCTGAACCCCAGGTCCTCTGCTCTGCTGACCAGCTTACTCGGCCGTTGGGGCGGCATCATCCTCAAGGACCAGTAAGGGTCGATCGGTGCCATCTGCATGCCTGGCCGGGGTTCCCCACGGTGTCCCCATGGATCTTCTCCAAAACCTGTAGCTTCTTAGGAATTACTGTATACTACCACCTCTTCTGCAACACCACCTCCCACTCTCATCATGTGAACAACTGCAGGACTGTGGATGGACAAAACAATGAAAAAAACAAAAAAAAACAAAACAAATCCAGTGGTCCCGTGGTGCCCACACAAATTAAGTCTGATTGGCCACAAAAGGTTTGAACTGGATTTTGGGGGAGTCGGGTCTGCAGTTCATACACATAGGCAGTGCTGCCCCAAAATCACAATGCTCCAAACATGTCTCCATCGCATGCAGCCCGAGGTGCTCCAAACAATAGCGCCAAGCACGGATGTGCGAGGATGAACCTCGGTGCTCGGAGCAACTGACCTTCGTGTGTAGATTGACCACTTCTGAGGCATTCAAAGGGTTTGGATTCAATATATCTGCTAGAAAACGGTGATCTTGGGTGGTTACAAGTACCGATCTGCCTCCCTTGGCTGCCTCGAGGTTTTTGACCCGCAAAAATGAGTCGATCGGATCGGCTTTCCGGATTCAAACCAATCTGCACATCCGCAATGGAACATGACCACTTCAGCGAGAACCAAACGAGAACAAATTCAGTTGAACAATGTTGACTCATTCATTGACAAGGTTTATTGTATCATATTGTGTGTATTTGTGTATCCTACATTGCCATGGTTTCACCATATGCTTTTATCTAGCTATCCCTCACTACTGAATCAATCAAGTCGCACAAACTACTTGGGGCTTCAACTTTCGTTGTTTAAAAAGGTCGCCCAGTCTATTCATCCTCCACTCACTTGTGTCTAGCATTCAGCTGGCGATCTCTGGCACGATCAGGCTAGTAGTGTCTCTCAAGACCGGGGGCATCCCCTGCAGGCCCTACTGCCCTACCATCCGCACAGCTCAATGAAACCGACCATTCTGTCCAACCCACCTCATCATCTGACCCAAATTTGCCAAACGCACCAAAAGGGTGCAGCTACAAGTCAATTGGATGCAAAATTCGCTTATGACAATTGAATATATATATATATAGAGTGACTATTAGTGAAGAATTATTCCACTTTAATCTGGACCTTTAAACGTGAAACCTTCGGACATGTTGTCCGAAGTGTGCAAAATGGAGAGGACTAAAACGCCGACCAAAGCCCTTTGCACTCCGTTCACCCCACAGTCCTCCGTACCGCGCCGAATCCGTCCCGAGACGGTCGAATCAGTCCAGAGCGCATCCGCGCTCACCGGGCGAAAGTTCCAGTTGCCGGACCTGAGAGAGGGGTGGTTGGCAAAACCAAATGGAAACAATTTTAAGCCAAGAAGGCAGCTTTTGATAGATAGATGCCCGGTAGTCCAAATTTGAACATGACATGGTAGTTCTGGTCTGAACCCTGTAGGTTCACTTGCGTCTCATTTGTTCTAGCAAGCACGCAGTCGCCAGAGTCGCTGCTTTTTTTTTGGCAAGTGCATCTTGCTCGGGGTTGCCCCTTGGGGTTGCCTCGCCAAGTCGCCTCCAGGAAGGACTTCCGAGTCGTCTAGACTGGTGTTACGACGTTACTGTAATTACTAGTTGTTGGTATCAGATTGCAAACGAAGGGCTCCACAACAATGTTGAACCTCAGACTGCTTTTTCCATTTCGCTTTGCGGCGGCCGAAGTCGGCCGAAGGCCTTTGACCTGGAAACGGTGTCGCCAATGGACTCCGCGCTCAAAGCTGCCGTGGCCATAGTCACAAGTTCCAAGCATCAGGGTGTTCTCTGTAGGCGTGTGGTGGCAAGTCTAAGAAAATAGTTCTATACGAATCTTTTGTGCATTAAAAGTTCCACTTCTCTCAGAACTATCTTGAATCGCAAGGCTGGCAATGCTTGTCTCATGTTCTTTCAGCCAGTTGCAAATCTTCACAGCCGGTACTGACTGGGCAGGCCACTGGCAGCAACTTCAGACGCTGTCCGGAGAGTTGGGGGTGCAACGTAGCTTGGAGTATCATGGCTGCCCCAAGCCAACAAGGACATGAGTTCCAACTGTTCCCGTTCATTTGGAGTTCCCGGTCGCTGCACAACGATGAGTCACGGGCCAGGTGGACGTGGAAAGCCACGTAGGGTGAGCCCAGGTTGACCAGCCGGGGGACCATTTTCATCCAGTTTCCACGATGATTTCGGGAAGTGTAACCGCCTGAAAGAACAATCACCCTAACTCATCAAACAAGGAAGCCTGTGAGGTCTGTAAGGTGCATGCAAATCTCCCCATTAGCTAAACAACACCAATCAACACCACAGCCGTCCCTGGTGCAACCCCCAATCCAGTTGTTGCTCTTGTGGCGATCAGCGACGAGATTCTTGGCAGCACTTGTCACGCTTCCACAATCTCCCTCCAAAACAGGATGGGAGATTGCACTGACACAGGCTATGGCTATGACTGCAGCTGTAGCCCCCATGAAGTGGATATGAATCCCCAGTCAAGTTGCCAATGAGTTCAGTTTCTCTATGGTCGATGCCGGCCTCCCTCGATCTGAAACGATACTCGGGGAGGCTCAGGTCCTCTAGGCCTCGAGGGCCTATATGTCCGTCTGTCCGTCTAACCCGCGCATCGCATCCGTGCTGCCTCTCGCGGCTCGACTCAGCGGCCCTATATACTTCAAAATTCATGGCACCTTCATCCTGGCGAGCTGCCGGAATATCGCATGGAGGCATAGGGGCCACAAACACTGGTACCCCCCCAACCAGCCCATTACACGGACGCTTTTGACGGATGGCTACATTGTTTACATAGTCCGTGGATTTCCTTCTGGGTCCATCGGGGTCCCCCGAAAATGCAGGACGTCGCCTCGCATGTTCCACCAAAGAAGGGCCACTCACTGGGAATGAAGGTGCAAACCTAGTTCAAATTCGGAAGCTAAACGCGGCCCGATGCACTTTGCCAGCAATAAGAGGTTCCCTCTTCTGGACATCGGTTGCCGTGAAACCACGTGGGCGCCCTCAAACAAGTGCGCGAGAAACAGGACACAAATGCGCCGCAAATGGCTCAGGCCAGGCCTGAGCAGGCCAAAAACAACGGAGGCAGTGAGTCACTCCCAGCAAGTGACGTGATACAACGACGATACCGACGACGACACTCTGTTACTGAACCAGTTCTGTGCAAGAGTCTTCCGGGGTTTCGTCTTCCGCCGAAAGAACACCAGACTCCATGTATATAAATGTAAATATGCCGGCAAATAACCAATCCAAGCCATCGTTTTGATTCCGTTGTTACACCAGGTGGCTTTCCAAATGTCTTCTCCAAGAATGAACTGAGGAGCTCACTGCCAGCCTGGCCACGACAGCACACCTGCCGCTTCGGCGCTCCGGCTCAGCCCATGATCGGCATCCAACGGATCCGGGCTGGTGCTGATCCCTGGAAGTTACTGAGACCAAACCCGAGTTAGTTGACAGGATTCTCATCATTCCCCAACTCGCAGGTGCCTTGCCAAACCATCCGGCAAGTGACTAGTGAAGAAAGAGCACCAACATGCAGCCACCATCTGAACCCTGAACATGGTGCAGCTACCACTCAAGTGGAACCTGTTGCCCTTAAACCGTCATGCCCTTTCGTTATGCAACTGGGCCCAGATGGAGATGCAACTGAGCCCGGGCCTCATCTGGCCGTAAGAGGCAGCTGCAAGATCATCGCATGCCCAGGATTTGGGACAAAACTAGGATCCACCTGGGCACAAAGCCGGGCGTCCAGCTATCGAAAAGTATGACTTCGAACATTGCGACATGCAGGCGTGAAAATGTGAAAAAAAAAAACATGTATCATGACTGTCATGTGTTCCTTTGCTGCGTCTCCTCAATCCAAAGGAGGGACGATCAACAAAAACATTAAAACATGTGTGACTTTATATATATATATATATTATATATATCAGTTGAAAACATATCCTGGAAATGACATCTACGGCAAGTTCCCACAGTGGATAGATGAAATACACTATGACATACATATGATATAATTAGGCTGTTGCCCATCCTGGTGTTCGTTCTATCATTGTATTTCTATGACGTTGACATAGTGTCATTTGTTCATACTGACCACTGCTTCCTTGTGAAGCCCTCCAACATTGTTGGCGCTATATATTGTGATTCTGCTGCAATTGACAAAGTATGTGTCAAAATAAAACCAGCATTGTAGGCAACCAGTGACCAGTGGCTCTGAAGACTGAGACTGCTGCACAACTGGGATGGGGAAATGGTCAAACGTTTGGCGTCTCTGGCTTCTTTGGATCAAGTCATTTAGCAAAAACTTGTCGAACTCATTCCTGCAGCTGTCGCTTTGCCGCTTGGGTGTCTGCTAATGGTTTGCAATGAACAGAACCTGTGAACTGTTGACCATCTTTCCTGCCCTCACGTTGCTTCAATGGCCGGAAAAAAAGCATCAACACTCTGCATTATATGGACCGTATCGTTTGATATGGACCATCGACGACCCATCGTCACGTCCCAAAACACAACAGCTTATGGCGTCCTGACTCAACAGCTCCATTGAATCCCAACAGAGAGGTTTGCACTCCCGCCCGTGCCACCAATCGTTTCATCATCTCTACTGGTCCGTGCTTCTTTGGACTTGAACAGCGTTGCACCAGTCCGACAATGATACAATCGGTCAGCGGTCACCCACCTTCTGCTGACAGTCCCCAGCGACTATGAACCAAACCAATTAGGTTGGCTCAAACACCAATCCACCATCCTTTGCCTATCTATGCTAATTGCTGATCGTTGACATAAACTCAAAACATGTGTCCTATCTGGATGTTCATTGATGTTCTACAATCGAGTGTGTTCATGAACAGTTCAGAATGGTCAATGTCAACGCTAATGACTCACCAGTGGTGCTTTTGGGACCTTGGCACCACATTCGTTGTCCCCGGCCTTCATCGCTTTGGGCAGCCGTTGGCGGCTGATCGCGGGACGTGGTGCTTGGCCATGCCGGGATGGCTGGGCTTCGTGGGTGAGACAGTTGAGGTCGATGTGGAGTGCTGAGGTCTTGTCACCTTGGCCGAGTTCGAACGCCGAGTGGAGTGCTGATCCCAAACCACGAAGACGTTTGGTGATTTCGTTTATGGTGTCAGATCAAACTAGAAAAGAGGACATGACTTCACATGCATCCAACCAACCCATCAGGTCGAGTCGTGGGTACCGAAGTGAAGTATAAACCTAGGCTAGGTGTTCTCATGATGTTCTGTTTTTAAATGTTTTTAACATCTGGCCGCTGGTTTCAAAGTCGGAGAGTCAACGTTCCGGGGCGCTGCACCTGATTTAAGCGATTGAAGACTTCTGATTCTGATTTCTGCAAGTTCCGGGGTAGTAGTGTTCTGATGCTTTGTTCACTGCTGGGAGTACTTACTTCTTATCAAAAGGACACATTGCATTGTAGTGTAAGAAAGCATCTCTACCATTTGTTGTGGGTCTCAGTATTCTAGGTGTGAATCCTTGTGCCTTTGTCCTAGTTGTGTACCAGCAGCCAGCAACATCATCTCAAAACATCACGGGGGTCTTGCTGCAAGTCCTACACCCACAACAGACCTGCTTGAAAAGACTGTCTGTGTGGAATGTCACCTGGTTCCTACGGACATTCGTACAAGTCAAGTCCGAAAACCGCGTCACAAGCCAGTTCATCAAACATCCTTCTGGTGATCATTGATGCCAATGCCAAAAGTGTCAAGGTCCCCCCCCCAAAAAAAACAGATGTCCGTTTCTATAATTGGTCAATCACACGAACGCCTCGCAATGAATTATACATGAGGGGACGCACATGTCGATATCGGTTCAGTCGAGAAATCTTCAATCAAGGCGCGGAGGTCCTCCTTCAACTGCTCCTTCTTCTCCTGGCCGCCACACAAACGAAGCTAACCATCAAACCTGACTTATCTTCAAAACCAAAAAAACTTACCATCAACCCCAAAACCAGTTTTTCACACCCAAAGCTGTACCCTCTACTTTCAGAGTGCATGGTGCTCCTCAGGCCAAGCCAGAGTTGGATGGGGATTTGTTTTAGCACTTGGGTTCTGTGAGATGCCACTCTAAAACCACTGCAGTAGCTCAAATTGCCTTGAGATGCTTTGAGGATCCTCTAGTCTTATGCCGACGTTGGAAAAGAGCAAGTTTTGACCGACAGCCAAGGATCTTTGACTTAGAGGTGAGTGATCAGACATAGCAGTCACAGCCTCGCTCAATTGGGTGAGTGATTGTTAATGGTCGCCTACTAGTGGCATGAGCTTCATTTAGGTGAGTGCTTTGACATAACACGGAGTCCACGAGGCCAGCGGCCAAGAAGCAAGCACTCATCTTACAAGTGACAAATTGCTCAAACCTTCATTGAGAACAGGTTTTGATTGAGAACAAACATCGGCATTTTTCAGGAAAAACATGACACATTTTTCCTTGGGGATACGTCGGATACGTAGGACAGAAACAACCTGCCATTCGCTTTTTGCTTTCGCACAGAACTGCCAAGAAGCAAACCACGTGGGGATCCACAGCCATGACCCGAACCATCCACGGAATTCCACGGAAAGAAGAAGAAGAAGAAGAAGAAACAACATGACCCGAACCCAAGGGAACTGAGCGATCGGATCATCCTGAAGGTCTTGCAAGATGTTCTTCTCATTCTGATGGTGTTGGCGTAATTCCTCGTGACACTTCAGCAAGGTCATCTGGTGCTCTTGCCTCGGAGCAGGGCGATTTTTGGGGAGCATGGCGTCTTTTTTTTGAGTCTTTTTGGGTCATTGATCAATACCCATTGAACCTCGTGGCGCAAACCCTGACAGTCTTCAAGCAAACACAAAATACTTGGCAGTTCCCCAACTACCAAGCACTGTCATGGAACCCCCAGATCTGTATATCCGAAATATGAGGTTTATCTTTGCAAAGGTCGTGCCATGGCTTATCAAAGGTGCTTGAGTTCCATTCTCTGTGATTAGCAGCGGCAACCCAACAACGTCGTCCCTCCAAGGCTGGAAACTGTGGATTCCACATGATTCCGCATGAGAATCCACAGGTACCCGGGTACCTTCAACTTGACTCACATCGCTCACTGGGTTCAAACCACTTCTTGAACCCCCAGGAAGTTAGGAAGGAGTCGTTCAGGGTCGCTAGGTGTTCTTTTCCACCTTGTAAGGAGAAGACTGTTGGTTTTAATTCATGAGGACTGGATCGTTGGTTCTTGGTAGTTCAACTCTGTTGCACACAAATTTTCTGAAAAGGAAGAAACACACTCTTAAACTAAACATTGGTTTTGAACATGACTTCTCACATCAGCAAGCATGATACATTGGATCATACCGTTCGAGACCCCGCCACGACTGGGAATCGAACCGTTCGAGCCTTGTGGGGAGTGAAAGCACATAAACCCTCCACCCCATTCCACAAAAACGGTCTTGATCTGAAAACCCGTTTTGAGTTTTGAATGACGTCTAGAGAACTTCCAGCACTGCACACATTCCACGCGTTTCGGATGAGATCCAAGTGGCAAAGCAGTGGACACTGGGTCCATCGCATGCTCTTTCGATGAACGTTGTTGACGCCAGGAGGCGCAAGTGGATGTCAAGTCCTGGCTCAAGTTGAGGCCAAAACTGAAGACTGAAGTATACAATTACGATTTTTGGCAGGGGAATTCGCATCTGATATGAGGAGATGTTCAATCTATATGCGTTTTCTGGGAGATATGTTTGTTCAAGAAAAAGTCGACCCTCAAGACTCCAACAACCACGTGATGAACATCCAGGACCTGGTCGAATAGTCTTTGGATCTCGGTTTGAGCTCAATCCCGTCCCCACAAGAAGAGCTTCCTCTCAAACCGCCAAGAATCATGAAGAATCAACATATGACTAAAACGCACATTGCCCCAGGCGGGGCTCAAGGTACACCCACTGGTACACCCTATACTACCCACTGAGGAGAACATGTTTTCAGCTCAGGCTCCATTGGCTCGTCCAGGGAGCGAATCTGAGTCTTTGTGTCCTGAGCTGGAGCAAGCAGGTGTAGAAGTCCGATTCCGAGAGATGTTGTTGACCAAGTTGGTAGGTATGTACGGTAAGTACAAAGGACATCTATATATAAGTCGGTATGGTGTTTCCTTTATTTCTCGCATGTTTGTGGAAACAATGCTGAAGCATCGTAAAGTCGTAAAGTTAGAGAATTGGACACTGGCATCAGGACAACTGCTTTAGGATGTCCATACCCATCAAAAAAACTTACAGTTGAGTGACACGCCCAGGTTTCCTACTACGTGGGCACTTCAAGGACCCGATCAACTGGAATACATTCTGGATTCCAAGATGTTCACAGGTCTGAACAGTAGAGATCTCCATTACATCCACATAACTTTTAACTCAATGTCTTTAGAATCCCTCTACTCGAGCCCACGAAGCCAACCTCCGCGAGCAAGAACGAGCCAAGTCTCCTGGATTGTGTTTTTTCGTCAAGCTGATCTGGTTACAAGTTTCTCGCAGCTCCTAAGCATAGCAAGCAGCTCAAATACACACATCTTGGTCAAATGGACTTGGCCTTGTGGTGATTCCTTTCCACGCAACTTCGCTGGTCGCTTTGAAATGTCTTCAACTATGGCCCGTTGCCTCCAAACCCAATAAAGTATTGGTCGCATGTTCACACCTATATTGGGGTCCAATCTGCCTGACCAACTGAGACAAGCATCGCTCTCCAAACGCCTCCGCATCAGTTGATTCTCGTTGACACGATCCTGGCGCCAACATTCAGCCACCCCGGCAGTTGAACCTGCCTACCCTGTTCGCCAGTCTGGCAAATTTTCTTCTTACCCTCTTGCCACAGGTCTTTGCTGTTGGATTCCGAAACTCAAACTGAATTGTTAGATCTCTTTAGAGTCTTGTTTTTACAACATGAAGGGCTCCAACTTGCACTGGCATTGATTGAATGTGACCCCAAAAACGCTATGCTTTCCAAGCCACCAAATCAAACATGTCCAGTCCAATGTTGTTACAGTACTATTTATGCAATTGATTGCACACACTGTCACACACTTGAGAAGGTTGCTCCGTGGAGCGTGATTTCAGGTAGCTTCGCGGTGTGCATTAGCCCTTTAAATCTAGATACTGCAGGAAACAACGTATGAGACGGCGTTGCACTGACTTAGAAATCTCAGCAATTGAAAATCAAAATTAGGATTAAAATTGCAGGTACGTGATCCTAGCGTCCCAAGGATCATATCAGCCATGGAATGCAGCCCTCTTCGTTGGACAACCAACTGCATCCATGGGGTTGTCCCCCTGCTTCTGTACAGAAAAGCTTGTAGGGTAGAGTAGGAAAAACTAGAGTAGTGTCCTTGGAAACAGGAGTGGACACACACACTGAGCCGTATCGGCGCAACTAGATCGGACCAGGTAGGGCCTGGATAATAAATATAGTGGAAGTGCTTGACATTGAAATGTTCAATACTGTAAAATGCATATCACAGCAGTCTGCGAAAGTGCTGGCACATAGTCTTTTTCCTCTTGGCCGCAGCGCCTCGGCGCAGTGTGCTGGTGAATGGCCTTTGGCCATATATAGCTGCATCAACTTCTGTGCTGTCGTGTGTGTAAGATGTTTTGGGTAAGTGTATTTTTGTAGTGTGTGGTGGCGTGATTGTAAGCCTGAAAGGCGTAGTCTGTGACTCCCTGCTGACTGCGGATCACGAATCTGCCAGGAATGGGTGGGGAGTTGGAAGGTGACGGTTCGGTTGAGAGGGTCAATCAGGAAACCGAGTAGATGGTCGTCGTCCACTGGCTCTATTTCAACTGGCTGTTCATAAAATTCAGGATGGGCCAATGTAGTGATGGGGAGTGCTGATCTGTATTGTTCGTTGAGCAAGATGTATCGGTTGTCGACATAGCGAGTGTTGAGCAAGTGAAGGTTTGGTTGGTGTAAGAAGTTGTGGTATGTGGTTTGCCAAGTGTGTTCGATGAGCGTGATTGCCACGTTGCAAAGTGCTGGTGAGAGCTGACTGCCAATGCCGGCTCCTTGAATTTGTTTGTAGTAGGTGTTGCAAGCTTGGAAAATGCATGAATGAAGAGCTTGTTGAACGATAAGAGGAATGTGTTGTGTGTCAAGTGTGCGTTGCTGTGGGTGGTGGATGTAGTGTCGACCGATGTGTGAGTGTTGGATGGGGTTGCCGGTAGACTGAACATCGATGGTGATGGTAGTAGTGTTGTGTTGTGCTTTCCAGCGGTGGCACAGGCTGATGACTGCGTCGACAAGGCGTTGTTGAGGTACGCTGTTGAAGAAGCCGACAAGGTCGTCGTTGATCGGTGTGAGGTGGATGTCTTCGGGTGTGGTCTGGAAATGGTTGTGGAGGTGTTGCCAAAGGTTGGGTATAGATAATTGGCCTGGATGTTGTGGTAGAAGATGAAGGAGCATAATGTCTAATGCTTTGGAGGTGGCTCGTAATAATGTGCCAGCGATGGATCTGAAATAGCTGATGACTGTTCTACCCTTTCGCCAGGATTTCTTTTGTTTGAGGAAAACTACTCCATGTGGTGTGTAGAATTTTTTGCGGAAGCCCCAGGGGTATGCTTTGCGAATGCTGGTTGGGAAGGATTGTGTGAGAAATTGGTGGAGTTGTTGGGCTGTGAGATCTGGTAGTGGGAGAAAAAGTTGTGGTGTATTCCATGTGGTGAGACATCCGTGGAAGTAGTGCTGTGGGCAAAAGAGTCGTAGGTTTTGTAGTTCATGGTCAGCATGATGGAGTACCAGCTTGTCTGTAAGAAACTGTTGAAGTTGTGAGTGGTGCGGTGATCGGTCCGATAGCTGTCAGTGTGGCTTGTCCTTGTAGGGGAATGCGGATGTTGTAAACTTGGGGAGTGCCGCATTGCTGTGGGAAAGTGTGTTGTGATGGTTGGGTAGGGAAGAGGTTAACTGGTCGTGGAGGTGAAATACAGCTGTTGGCTGAGTGCATACAGGTGTAAGAAGGCTTGGGTGCTAAGGCTGTGTGTGGGAAGTCAGGTGTCGCAGTTTGCTGAGATGCGGTCTGCTGTGAGTGTTCAAGTGTTGTGGTGTGGGTCACAGGTGGTGGTGTGGTGCGAGGTGGTGCCATGGTTTGTGGGGGTGTACATGGATAAATAAGATCGCTTTGGTGAATGCTTGTGGTTGGATCATCTGTGAGTTCGGTGGGGTCGTATGTCTTGCTTTTGCTTTTGCCCTGGCCCTTGCCCTTGCCTTTCAGTTGATCTGGCGGAAAACGGCCGATCGCTTCAATGTGGTCTAAAGCAGCGGTGAGGTCGTCTGTTGCGTGATTCACCAAGGCTCTGACTCGAAGTATGCGGTCCAGCAATGCCGGAGGGAGATGTGGGTAAATGTTCTCGTCAAAGTACATTGTCTGTTGCAATGAATGGAGCTGCTCTCTGGTGTGGTAGATGGTGGTGCGGCAGCTGTGTTGGGAAGTGTATACGCCATAAATGTGTGCTGCTGGTGTGTCATGAGTCCAGCTCCAAAATGCCGCTTCCATGGTGGCCAAGCAGAGGGTCTAGGAAATGTCGATGAAATCAGTTGTAATCAAAAGGCTGAGGTAACAAGTGGCGGTAAACAGAGGTCATGATACCGTTGCATGAAGAGAATCTGGTAAGCAAATCTTGTGGTAGAAGAAGAATCAACAAAAGCCAGTCCTGTCTAGTAATAGTCGCAACAAAGCAATAAAGCATGTGGCTGATATAGTATCATCGGAGGCCGCTGTAAAATCATGTGTGGAGAAGCTGAATCTGTACAAGATTGTGTCTGTAAATAAATAAATGTTGCATCTGTATTGTTAGTGTGAGGTTGTTGTGCTGAAATGCAAATGCAAATGTAAATAGTAACTCTGCATTTTGAATTCTGTTCGAGTTTGCAGGGTGAAACGCAATGGGTGCAACTTCCGAGTGCTATTGGTCGGAGTCTAGCGATGTGTTGGGATGTATCTTGAAGTAAAGAATGTTTGTTTGGAGGTGAGAAGTGGTGCTTCCTGCTGTAAAGTGTGAGTTGACGTTGGCTGTAGAAATATAATCCAATATAGATATAAATATGACTGAAATGTGATGTCGCTGGTAGCTCTCATGGCGCTGGATCTTGGTCAACTTGGCGAGGAAGAAGTTGCTGTGGAGGTGGATACGATGGTGGTTTTGGTCGTAAGGGTGTTGACTGGGGTGGTGGTGGTTGTGATGGTTTTGTGGAAGGTGATGTTTTTGGAAAAATTCGTAGTGGCGCTGGAATCGGTGGTGTTTTCGGTGGTGGTGGTGGCGGTAGTTGGGACGGTGTTGGATGTAGTGGAAAAGGGGCAGGTGTTGCTGCTGTAACGTTTGATGCGGTTTTGTCTGAGGGTGAATGCTGTAGAGCGAAGACGCTGTCGCTGGTGTCTTCTGTAGGTGTAAGAGGAGGTGGTTCTGTGCGGGGCGAGTCTGGTCGTGTCGTCGGAGAGGCATGTGAAGAGTGTCGAGAAGTGTGGTGTTCGGTCTGGTGGCTGGGTGAGTGAGTTCGAGTCGGTGCTGGTGAGAGTTGACGTCTTGTCCTGCAAGAGGAGCGATGGTGGGCCGATCTTGTGGATCTTTCGCGACGGCTTCTTCGTGACTTGGTAGTACGCGAGCGTCTTGTCCGAGAGCGTCTGGAGCGAGAAGTAGAGTGTTGTGATCGCTTGGGTTGTTTGCGATGTTTGGTATGTTTGGTGATATGCTTGGGTTGTTGTGGAGAACGTGTGCTGTGGGAGTGAGGGCTGTTATGTTTGGCAATGCGAGGTGGTGATGTGCGGTCTGAATGACGTCTCGGAGCCGCAACTTGTCGCTTCTTTCGTGTGTGTCTTGAGTGTGATCTGGAGCGTTGAGGTGGTTTATGGGTATGTTTGGCACTGTGTGAGTGTGATGCTGCTGTGGAAGTGTGCTGCTGCCGTACTGGGAGTGGCTGTTCCGATAGTTTGTGATGTTGTGGTAGATGTGGTCGTTCATGTAATCGTATCGGGGGTCGATTGGTGGTAAGTGAGGGTGGGTCAGTCTTGGGTTGTCTGGGGGATGGAGGTGTGTTTGATCGTTCGAAAGTGGAAGTAGAAGTCGTGTGGGCCTTGTCCAAAGTGGTGGCCAATCGTAAAACCTGGTGTTGAAGAGTGGTTGGAATGTGTTGTAATCTGAGACATTGGTGGTAAAAAGTCTGTTGGTGCTCCACGGTTGCTTTGAGCGAGGGCAACAATGTTTGGAGCTGTTGGATTCTTCCTGGTAGACGTGGGTCTGGGGTGCTGGTGTCGGATTCTGCTAAGTGTAGCTGTCGAATAGTGTCATGTAGTCGATTGAGTTGAAGTACCATCAGCCGGTTGATCTGGATGTTTGTATCTCGCAGTTGTGAAATGATTTGGGCATCCAAGGCAACGAGGGCTGTACCAACAGGATCTGAATCCATCGCGATGTCGTCGTCGAGAAAACTGTACAGGAATGAAAGGCTGAGCTAAATTGAACTAGCCGAGCTGCAAATACATCAAAATGGAGACATGAAAGTGGTCAAAATCACCCAAAAAAACTTGGAAACGTAAAGTTCATCCGGTTCAACAATGGGGAGACCATTCGAGAGTGATTCGCATGGATGCAATGAAACGATGAATTAGACGGAATAAACTGGTCTGTACACAGTACTGGCGATGCTCCAGTGGTCGAGAGTTTGTCGTGTGTGGCAAGTGTTCAAGAAAAATGAGCACTGCTGGCGACCGATCTTGTTTTGCTGCACGTGTGGAAGAAAGCTGTAATGGTGTGTTGTGGGTTGGAGTCTATTGCTCGCAACTGCTGGAACGACAAAAAGCAATAAGCCAATATGTAAGTATGTACGAATTGACAATAAAATACAGTACAAAGGCATCAATAGTTCGGGATGTTCTTCAGCACCGAGAAGTCGTGGAAAGTTCTGTTTGGACGATCATAGACTGCTGTTGTGTATTCTATGTCTCTTTGTCGGTCTGATCCGGAGGTTCTGTAGTCATCGTACTTGCATCTTTTGTGGCTGGAGGAGTTGCCTCTGCTTGTTGAGATGCTTTGTGTGGTGATGATGCTTCTGCTTCTGGACTGTCTGGCTGTTGTGGTGTATAAAGAATTCGCAAGACTTGCCATCGACCTTTGCAATCAAAAGGTGTTTTGTTGAGTGCTTTTGCTATGTATTTCCAACTAGGGCGAGATCGTTTGTTGAGTTTAAAGGCCGCAAGTTTTTCATCTTCACTGGGTTCCCATCCTCCATTGTCAGGATAGTGTGGTGAATCCGTGAGGATGTGTGTTGGTTTTGATGGTGGTACTGGTGATGCAGGTGGTACGGGTGTAGGTAGTGGCGGAATTGGTAGAACTGGTGATGTTTGTGGAGGTGAATTGGGCGAGCTGGTGAGAGAAATCGTTGTGATTGGTGGTGTAGGCTGTTTCTGGAGGTCTGTATTGTTCTTGTGTTGGTGAGTCGCTTTGGACTTGTGGTGGTGTGGTGAAAACTGATGTGGTGAAGTGGGCGTATGTGAAGGAGAAGGTTCTGGTTTGCACTCCATGAATGGTTTGCCTTTGGCGGGAGGTGGACTGCGGCTGCGTGAGAAAGACGGCTGCGGTTGCAGTGATGGAGGAGTGCGTCTGGCTGGTCTTTGGGGAGAAGGTGGAGTGGTGGTGAGTGGGTGATGTGCTTGTTGTGGTAGTTGCGGTGTAAATGGTGGAAGGTTTTGAAAAGTAGTAGCAATGGAGGTGGCTGCTTGAAGGTGTGCTAAAAGAAGTCGATGGGCAAAAGCTGTGTCCAGAGGGGAAGTCATCGTCGTGGTACTCGTCGGGAAGCAAATATAGCTCGGGTGGTCGTCAGGGATCGAGCTCAATATTCAAGATAATACAAAGTGGCTGCGGGGCAGGTTGCAAAACACATGAAATCTTGCGACTCTCTTCGATATGCTTGTGATTCTCTTCGAAAAGCTTGATATCAACCAGGAATGCTGACATGCTGCAAGTCTGGAAAATTGGAAAAGTGACCGTAAAAAGATCATGTAGTCGGCATCAATCTGTATATGAATAACATATCGGAAGAAAAGGAAGTTGACAACGATGTGTGAGAAAAATCAGAATCAAATCAGGCAGGCTGGCTGAGATTGTTTGAGGCTAGGTCGTCATCCAAGATACGGGGTGAAAAATGAACCTCGTGAGCTGAATAGATTGAATTTAAATGAAACTGAGCGGTGGCTTTGCATCGCTTTTCCAAGCTATCCCTTCTATTCTGGAATGTTTGGGATGGGCCACCCAGCATTTTCCTGGGGTGTATTTTACAATCCCCTCTCCTCTGAGCAGCAAGTCGTTCGCTGCGGATTCGCCACCATGAGTGACTTTCTGGCCGTGTCCATAGGCTTTGATCGTCAGAATGAGGCCGCTGCGGTTCTTGGCCATGTTGGAAGCATTGAAGAGGACGCGTGCAGCTTCAGCAGCATCATGGGGCTCGTAGTTCGACAATTCGAACGCCTGACAAAAATATCCCACATTGTGATCATCATGCAGAATGGATCGCACGATTTCTCCTGCTTCAAGTATTGAAATGATGTTGCCCTCCTCGCTAACGTGTGCCGCAAAAATGTGTTTAATAGGTGGTATGTTCAGCGCCTCTCTCCGTGTAGGAGGAAGAATCGGGGCGTCGCCCCTGCTCGCTAATGTGGGGATTGTGAGTAGTAGGAAGGAATAATGTTCTTCTTTGTTGGTGTCATCGCTCCATTTTTTGTGGGTGAGAAGTTGAAGGTCGGTAAAGTGGGTGCTGTTGAGATGAGCTGCACTGAGTACCTTGGCTACGTAGGAGAGCATGGGTTCATTGTTTACATCAAGTGCTTGTGCGTAGCGGTTGAGCCATTGGAAGACATCCAATTGTGCTGGATCAGTGGGGGGTTGGAATGTTGGAGGAGGCAAGTTGTGAGGTCGTCGTTGGACTGGTATTGCAGGTGTTGGTGCTGGTGGTGGTGGTAGAAGTGTCTGTTTTTGTGGGATGTTTGGGAGTGAAATGTGGGTTGGGCTTGAGTGTGATGCTGGAAGTACGGTGAGTTGGCTCTGGAGTGTGTTTTGCAGTAGTAGCTGTAGTGATGTTTTGGATGGAAGTGTGAGCTTTGTCTTGGGTGATTGCTGGTGATTGTGATGCTCGTCTATCTGCAGGTTTGGATTGTGCTTGAGAACTAGCCACGGATTGTGTGGCGGAGCTTCGACGTCTTGGTAGTGGAGAGCGTGTAGTTCGTAGTGATCGAGTGCGGCTCCTGGATCTGGATGTAGCTTGTGATGGTGCAATGGAAGGTACGGCTGGAAAGGCTGAATAGCGGTGGTGTTCAGGTGTGCGTGGTGGTGAGCGATCTGGGTCACGCCAAATGCCTCTTGTAGTGCTGAGTGTGGGTGCAATGGATGGTGTTGGTTTGGTAGTGCGTGGAATGTGGTGTGGTGGCGGAGGCTGTGCGGGTGTGTTGATGGATGCTGAAGCCGGTTGAGTAGTCGCTGGTGAGGTTGTTGAAGTGTAAGGTGGTGGTGGTGGAGTTGGTGTGGTCAACTGCTGTGAAGTGATTGTTGTATCAGGTGGTGGTGCTTGTAGTACATCAGGTGCTTGTAGTGGTGGTGGTTGTTGTGGTTGAAATGATGTTGTGGCAGGGGTTTGATTTGTCGTGTGTGGTGATGGATGTAGTTGATGTGGTAGATGTGGTAGATGTGGTTGGGGAGGTAGAGGTGGTGGTTGAGGTTGAGATTGAGACTGAAGTGGCAATGCAAGATGTGTGTGGGCTTGGGATTGTGGTGATTGAGTTGTGAGTTGAGGATGTTGTTGTGCAAGTTGGGTAGTGTCGAAAGGAGCCGTAGGTTGCACTGGAAAATGTGCCTGAAGTTGATGTGGTTGGATGTATTGAGCATGAGGTGGAGGTGCAGTAGGCAATGGGTAGTGATGTGAGGTTGGGTGTTGTGGTGGAGTCGGTGGCAGTGTTGGAAAAGGTTGTGGTGAAGCCTGTGGTGGATATTGAATCCAATGGGGTTGTGTAGGTTGTGGCTGTGGATGGATGTGTGGCGGCAAAGAATAGGGCCAGGGATACGTCATGGCTGCTCGGCAAGTCGAAGACAGTGAAAATATGTATGTATGTATGAAAATAAATAGAGGTCCGTGAGGTCGAAAAAGTTGTGGAGTGTATTGAATGACCGCAATTAAATTCTGGAAAAAGGAGTTAAAACTTGGAAGGTTAAAAGATTTGAAAGGAATGAATGGATTTCCGGGTGAAACTCTTTCAGTTAACTCTGCAGTGGGATTCAGAAAGGATTTCAGTGAACTCTGCAGTAATCTTCACGTGTGCTGGGTGAGACTATCCAAGCTGATTTCGAGCAGGTCAGATTCAGTCTAAGGGACTTCAGAGAAAATTCAGGAAACTTACTCCCTCGGTGAGGAGTGATCAGGTTCTTGCGGTAACGGCGCCCCGTAGGGATCACACAGCTCACCACAGTGGGAAGAAGCTGCGAAGACACACTTGAGAAGGTTGCTCCGTGGAGCGTGATTTCAGGTAGCTTCGCGGTGTGCATTAGCCCTTTAAATCTAGATACTGCAGGAAACAACGTATGAGACGGCGTTGCACTGACTTAGAAATCTCAGCAATTGAAAATCAAAATTAGGATTAAAATTTCAGGTACGTGATCCTAGCGTCCCAGGATCATATCAGCCATGGAATGCAGCCCTCTTCGTTGGACAACCAACTGCATCCATGGGGTTGTCCCCCTGCTTCTGTACAGAAAAGCTTGTAGGGTAGAGTAGGAAAACTAGAGTAGTGTCCTTGGAAACAGGAGTGGACACACACACACACACACGCCGTGTGGGCAAACCACGCCTTCATGCACTTCTCGGACTTCCCAGCGGCATCCTCGACATTGCGCTGCACGCGCGCCATGAGCTTATTGGCTTCCTCTCGGAGCTCCTGTGTTCGATCCACTCGTCTGGTTGGAAGCCACTGGGATGAAGGTGTTTAACCACCTCAACATACCTCACTATCTCCTACATCTTACGAACTCTGCATCTCACTACTATACCTCAACATCCCACCTCAACTCTGCATCCTTACATCTTACATCCCTCACTACTACATATATAGGCCTGACCTTCCCACTGCGCCCGCCCGCACAGTAGAAGCGCATCCCATGCGGATCCGCCAACCTTGGCAGCCTCTTCCCGGTGGATCGCCGACTGGTTGAGCCGCAAGGCCTCCTTCTGCCGGAGCACCTCATTGCCTCAGGCGAAATCTGCAGGGCTTCGCTCATGCCAAGCTTGGGGTGCTTCACCATCAAATGGAAAGCTGAGAGCTGGAGCACTAGGCCCAGCTCGGACCGAGGCAGCTGGGAATTCCTCTCGGCCAAGCCACGGAAGCTTTCCAGGGCTGTCACCTCCCGCCGCGCATCCGCCCCACGCGCCGTGCCGCGGCTGCCGCCGCGCGCCGGCGGCAGGTTCCCGCCCGCCGTCCGGAGGAAGGCGCTGCGGTCGACGATCTGCTCGAGGCTGCGAGAGGTGGTGCGGAGGCAAAGCTCATCCACACTAAGGGCCTGGCGAAGGGGGTGAAGCCGAAGGTGGACGCACATGGGCTTGGTTATAGGACTAAAAGACCCAACTGGTGGTGTTTGGGGGTCTTCCTGCGGAGCTGGAGGCGTTGCAGGAATGAATCTTTGGGGCTCCAACAATGCTGTGATGTTCCCAAAGCCATTCTGGATCTACAACACCTGAGGCCTGAGGATGAATGTTGCTTACCTACAAAATGGTCTCTCTGATGATGTCCGGTTGGAAGGTGTTTGCTGTTTACACGTGCCCTCCAGCTGTTTGAACTGTCTTAGGTCGCAAATGGTCGCAGGTTGCTTACTTACAGTGTTTCATATGGATCATGTTGGCTGTCAAAACAGATAGGAAAATAGGATAAAATAGGGGAGCGTGCGAAAAGAACTATGGGCCCCTTGCTGTCAGCCTTGGGATCATAAGAAAACCCTATGCAGCCAAGAGTGAAGAATCTTGAACCCTGCTATAGTGCAAAGGTAGGCAGTAACAAACAGCTTTGCGCAAGTACAAAAAATTAATGAAATTCCAAACCTAACCCCCTTCACGGCCCCAATAACGCTGCTTGGTGCTGGTCAATCTCCCCCTCTGCTTGTGTTTGAACAGCTGCTTGCAACATTTCAACATCCCCGTTCGAACACCCGTTTGTTCGCATTCCTTGAATACGCATGGAACATCAAAAGACTCTAAACCGACTCCGTTTTCATCTAGTCTCTCCAACACCGGAGGAAAACAACACGGAAAATAAAGGCATTACCATGCACGACTTGTTCTGTTCATTGTTTCCTATTAACACCAATTCCTGGCCCAGGCTTTGTTGAACAGTTCGTGGGGACCCCGGCTATTGACACTCTCTCAATGGTTGGCAGGAAGGGAATGCTTAACTTAGTAAGCTAGCCGCCCAAACACCGAAACAAAGAAACAAGCCCGGTCTTGTCCCTCTGGCGGCTCACTCGCTTTTGTGCCTGGCTCTTCTGCTGAATGTCCTGACGGACCTCTTCCAGCTTATTCTCCAGGGCCTCCCATAAAGCATGACACATGGCGCACACGCCAACGCTTGGCACGGCTGCATTGGAGGTTCTAAACCAAACCCCAGGTGCAGGCGCCCTAAAAGTACCACACGTGGCCCCTTGAACAAAATCAAAAAAAACACACAAACGTCGCCAGGCCGCCAGGGATCTTAGAGAATAGACTTAGGGTGAAATCAATGACTCGTCTGTCTAGTTGCTTGGAACTTGGAACGTCGATATTGGCATATCCACATCCATCTCGAAACCGACCCATAGATCAAGTGCAAATCAATCCTGGGTCTGCCTTTTAGTTCTGCATAATGCCATGGAACATGATTGCTAATCCTCTACGATGATTCTTCAGGAAGCCACGCACTGTCAACCAAAGATTCCGTGTTCCCATGCATAACAGCAAGGAAGCAAAATCCATGAACATCCCCATAGATGAACCCCTTCTTCCTGAGCGGAGAAACACAAAGGTAGATATTCTCCACAAGAACTGCGAGAGACATGGAGTCAAACAGGACCTGGCAAAGGCGAATGATGCCGAATTCTTCCAATGAAGGCAAAATCAATAGACCAATGAATGCACTCGGCACTAACACATCACATGGAAGTGGATGGGAAAATGGTCCCTTGGAACACTGCTTTCCTTCATGAACAGAGGGTGCCATCCACTTCCATGTGATGTGTTCGTCGTGGCCCATCTCCATCCACAAGACATAGTCCGCAAGCGACCACTGTCCGCGCAGTGTGGGTTCGTCTTCACAGCACAGGAGGTCTTCACCTGCGGACCCTGCGGAGGAACCGGGAATCGCCTGGACGGTCTGCTTGGTTTTCTGGATGACATCTTGCAAGCGCCGCTGAGAATCCAACAAGGCGGCCTTCTCCGTCTCCAGAGACACCTGGAGTCGAGTCTGCCAGCAGTGGGCCGCTACTAAAGCAATCATAATATACTTGTGGTTCACTACTCGTGGGTTGGGTGATCAATGTCACCCGCGACCATTTTGGAATCCCAACTTGCAAATCATGATAGAGCACCACTCTGTTGGATTCAAGGTGAGGTAGCTTCACTACCATCAAAAGGCTCCGCTGTGCAAACCTGAAAAGCAAACACACAAACACACCTTCTCGAGACTCTCGGCAATAGGGAACCTCCTTGGAACGCAGTTCCTGTGCTCCCCTCCGCTCCGCTCCGCACCTCCACATGGTCCCGGACCTGTTCCCGCAAGGGTCGACGCTCTCGTTGCTCCATACGCCAGCTACAAAGGATCAGTGGAGCATCCTGGATCGACAGGCGCGAACAGGTCGACACCAGGCGGTCCCGATGTGACCCCGCGTGGACCCGAAGGGCCACGAGGCAACCGGAGTAGGATGTTGACCGGGCATGGATGTCTTCACTGCTGAACATGGGTGTTTTCACTTGTCTGAAAGAGGGTCCACCGAAAAGCCTCCGTGTTTGGGTGATGTGGCAGGTCACATCACGCGGCATCTGGAAATGATGGTCGTTCAAGTTGGGTTTCGGAGCCGCCAGCCTGCGATTGTGTTGCCAAATGGATCATGTTCCACCTCCAGTCAAAAGAAACAAGCAGGAACTTTTGAGCATCTGTTCAGCTTCTGAGTTCCTTCCAAATGTTGAATCTCTGGCCTCGGCTCCTGTTTTGCTAGAATAAACAGGCGGCAAACACATTTTCATGGATGTGGCCGACATCAACAACAATGACGGCCCAAGATTTAATAGGTCAAACCTCACCAAATGGTTGCCATCTGGACCCACGAAAGCTGGAGGTTGATCTCCGATGATTTTCCATAACTTGGTCCAGATGTCCGATTCTCCTTCACCTGCCCAAATGATTCCCATCCGATGATTGTCCACACCCATACTTTTCGCATCCGTCCACCTGTCCTTTGCCTCTAAGGCCTCTTCCAACTTGCCCAAGGTCTGCCTGGTGCAGCGAGGTGTCGTGACAGGACTCGAGCGCCGGGCGAGCGCACAGTGAGACTCAAAAGGGGAGCGAGCAACATACGGGCCCCCCCAAAAAATGAGACGCAACCCAGCTAAAGCAAGCTGAACTAAACATTCAACAACACATACCAAACTACAAAAACACTCAATTGACCTTAATCGAGGTGCAGGATAAGTGTTCAGTTTCTTTTCTCAGTGAATAGTGAATGTGCTATCTAAGGCTAAGGGATTCATCAGCACCTGCTGCTTGTCCTTCCTTGGCACCAAACCAAGCAAGAGAAAAAAATAGAAACACAATAAACAACTAAAAGTTTTGAAAACGATTTCCAGGGCCGAGATCTTTGCCCGAGTTCAACTGGTCTGAAGTCTGTTGAATGTTCCTCCCCAGTTCGGATTGAAATTCTCACTTCTGATCTGGCCCAAGTGCTTCGTGTGTTGGATGGAGTTCTCCAGTGACTGCGCACGGTGCTGGAGCTTCTCCAACATCCTCTGACTGGTGCGGACCTTTTGCTCCAAGGAACTTTGCCTCAAAGGGGGCGGAGGAATCCCTCACACGCGTGGGTGACGGTGAGAACAATGTGGGTGACTGGCTCGGAACGAACCCGCTCGGTTGGGTCGGGTTGGACCTGCCATCTGTGAGACATCCTTCTGATCGGAAGTTGCTACAATGGAACTGGACGTTCCTTTATGCTATGGGCGTCTGTTGATTCAGGAGACAGAAAGTTCATAGAAGTTCTAGAGAACACCTCAAGCAGTATCGGCCTCAGTATTTGATGGAAGTGCATGGAGGCCGGTAAAAAAGAATATATTTACAGCATAGCAGCCGCGCTCAAAAATGGGTCGAATCCAAGGGCTTGCCTCAAACCCACAAGGGTCGAGTCGAGCAATCTTCTGGGGAGGCCATAGAGGCCCAGTAGTGGGCAAGGTTATAGCATATGATTCTGCATCTCACCATTGGTGCTTTGTCCTTTGAAGCTGTCATCGGTGCTTGGTTCACAGCTTCAGCACACATCTGAATCTACAAAGATCGAGCAACAACGCTCCGGGATGCTCCACGCGAATGGGCGGGCCAGCTGCAGTGATTGGGGCCGGTCTTCGGATCGAACGAATCGAATATTGAAATGTCATGTGAGATGTCATGAGTGAGTCATGGGCCTCATTGTGCCACACTCATTCTAGCTTGTCTTGTCAGTCCTGGTAAAGCATCCACCAATTTCACCTCCCAGGTGGTATAGGACTTGGACCCCCAAAACCCGAGAAAACCCCACCGAGCTTCATCCCATCAGGTCACAACATCCCATCTTCTATATGGGTATCAGAATATATAGGAAGACCTCCCAGCTTGGCCCCTCGACCGGACCTATGGGGTCCGGGAAGTAGGAGATCTACCCAGCAAGGTCGGGTGATGTCGGGTGTCTCCCAGCGGGTTCGACCACCTGGAGAACGTGGACCATCCAAACACCACATGGTTCAAAGGGAACGGTCTTTCGCCATTCTCAGGGACCATGTCAGTTTTCGGGAGCGTACCTGAGCTTAAGCCAAATCTATATAGATGTTGTATTGCACCCCTTCTCGCTCGCGCACGTTCTCTACACGATGGCATATCGATTCATTCAGTCCCAATGGCAGCTCGTGATACATACCTTGCAGTGATTGGGGCCACAAAAGGCATATCGGCATATCGCAAGAAGAGCGGTTTGCTTGATTGATCGATTCTTACTCCTTTCCCTAATACCATGAATTAGGTTGCTGAGTATACAGGCATAGGGAGGGAACAAACAGACCAGAGGGATTCCCATTTGGCATCCAGCATTCTGAAGTTGGCATGTGTAAATCCATTCCCATTTCCCATGAAGCGACTCTCCTGCGAATGGTTCCAAATTTCTCCAACGACCAATCGATTTGCATGGGACCAACGCCAATGGTTCCGTCTTGCAAGCCAAGCAACCAACATCTAAACGTGTTATGTTTTTCATTGTTTTTCATCTTAGACCAGGACTTCCACCTAAGCTGTTTCAGCCACCAGGACTTTCGAGCCACCAGGACTATGCGCACGTTTCCCATGGACCACGGGACAGCGCTTTTCCCACCACTCGAAACACCGAACCAGGACTTCTCCACGGGAACTTGTCGGACGTTCTTGGTCGGGCCATGGGCGTTGGGGGAGCCCAGTCCCATTGGGACGCTGCCAGCTTTCACACCGGGAGATAAACAAACAAGCAACTGAAAAACTGAAAGAAACCCTTAAAAATCCTAAGTCTTTAAGTTTCTTAGTCCTTAGTCTGCCAACAACTAAAAAGCAATGAAAAGCCCCAAAAGTCCTAAGTCTATACCAACATCTACAAACAACCTATCCAAATTCATCCTCTCCTGGAAAAAGAAGTGGAGTTCCTTCCGTCTCTCCATTGGCGATTGCATTTGAAGGCCCAGGCCCTACTCCATTCATAGATCAACACCTGCAGTGATGAACACATGTACTGTACCCTGCTCTGTGTGTCTCACAACGCCACACACACAAACAAAAACACAGCTTCCTTTTTCCGGGGGAGCTAGGCCGGAGGATTCATTTCATGAGGATTCAAAAATTCTCAGAAAATGACTTAGAAATACTTAGATCTCCCAGTTCAGGGCATCAAAATCTTCTTCCAGGCTGCCCATGTTGTCAGACATGGCCTCATCGTGGGCGCGGCTGGAGCGGTCCTGCTGATCGATGGCCTTCCGGTGAGCGGACTTCGCCTGGAACATGTTCCTCAGGATGGGTTCTGCCCTACCATTCCCAGATCACGTCCCAGATTACGTTGGTCGGAGAGCGACACCCGACGTCGAATTTTGGGTGGGAGAAAAACACCTCGAGAACGTCGGGTCTCGGGCCGGGCTCTGAATGTATCGAGAAATGTGGATCACAATACTATGGATGCTTGAAAAAGGATGACAAAGGCATGTATGGAGACCACTGAGCTACATCCTGATGTCCTTCTTGGAACGCGGGCCGGTGCATACTGGAAGAATATATCACATTGCGAACGGCTCTCAGTTGCGGACATACCACGCAGGTGCAAAACAGAAACAAAACATAGCAAAAGCACATCAAGTACATCCAGCATTCTGATGGGCACTCAATGCCCATTCTTGCGTCGTGTGCATGCTCATGGCTCCCACTCCGGAGGGATTTCTCAGCCACCTGAGCGCCCTAGACTGAGCCAAAACGCTCTGCAAGGGTGTCCAAGAAACTTCCAACAGGTTTGGTCGAGTCTGACACCTTGGTCAAGCCCAACGAGTCAAGCGTCCCCGGAACTGATCTTTTTCGTGACGGACGCAGCCCCAGGGGCCGAGCCCCATGGGCCCCATGGGCAGCGACAAAGGATATTCGTAGTCAAATGGATCTGAAATGGTGCTCTCAAATGGATCAGAAGAAGTTTCTGAAAATAGGGCATAAGAATTAGAGCCCATGTGAGTGTTCTTTGAGAGTATCTTGGTCCTTCGAAGGCCCCATGATTTAGCAAAATCAAGTGGAGTTTCGGGCTAGGATCACAGGAGGGTTATGGAGAAAAAAAGGCCTCAAGCTGACCGAGTGCCGAACCTGGTAGGTTTCCAAGTCATTCCATCCCTTCCTGGCAAACTCAGGGGTGAGCCGCATGATCACATGCAGGCAAGAGGAACTGGAAAACATACACACAGGGCAGCTGGTAAATCCTGACAAATCCTAATGCCCACCACTGAACCAACACACATGTAACAATATGTGCTTGCATGATCTTGCATCTAGCTGGTGCTGCGACCTTCTCACATCCTTACCCCTTGTGGGGGGTCAATGCTTGGCCAATGTGATGGCAAAAACACAACTTATATCACATTCTGAGTTTCAAGGGTTCTTGAGTAGTTCCCGGTGCAATAGATCAACCTCCATACCCCCACCATCATAGTCCGTTTCATTCCGGCTGCCAGCACCACCAGGCTCCTTCCTCCGGATCTCGCTTTTGTCCTCCCTCTGTCTCTCTCTCTCTCTCTCTCTCGCTTTCGTCGCCGCTCCTGATAGCTCGTTGCTTCTGGAACTCCACATTCCGGGCCTCAGTCGAAAAGGTTATATAGCCTTTCGTGGCGCAAGGCGGGGACAATCTGATCAACCTAAACAAATCGATGTACAAACTCCTCGAGCACGGAGGAGCCGGGTGAATCAGCGGGGCGTTGATTCAGCAAGCATTGAGAAGCCTCAAAGACGGACACTCAAAGCGCAATCAACCCAAGTTGAAGGAACTACCCCATTGGCATAGCACACCGGAACATATTTATCATATTTTCTCATCCCTATATATATACTGCAAATCTTTGGAAACCATTTTAAGCAAAGTTCCTAGGTCATTGTGGGTGTGTTGCTTCGGAGTCCAGAGATTTCATGATCTCCTCCTTGTTGAAGCAAGATTTGAAACACTGTCATGATACAGCCAAACCTAGGAGATCCTAGGAGATCCTATGTTCCCTCAAGGATTTTTTGACACCAATCAGGTCTGCCTGAAACTCTGTCCGAACACCCCAGCTGTATCGATGGCCCCCTGCTGTGTTCCAAGAGGTTGTTACCTCGTCCAGTGGGATCTCAGCCTGACGCAGCCGAGCAGAGCGAACGGTGTGGTCTGCGCCAACTTTCTCCATCACGCGGGGGATCTGCTGAGGATTCCGCTGAGGGATCCCCCAACAAAATCTGAGAAACCTCAGAAAACTAGTGCGGATGTGCATCTGAAAAGCAGGTGGCTCCCCCCAAAAATGTCTTTCTCCGCCAATCTGAGAGGCCACTTTTCGAGCACCCGAGCACCCAAAGGGTAGATCCTCCACGCCGCGTGACGCCGCCTGGCGCCCGTCTGTCGCATTGAAGCGTTCGAAGGGGAGCTGTTGGCAGTGTTTCTGCAAGCGTTGGCAGCAACCTGGCGAAACCAAAAGGTGGACCATGGTGGAACAATGTTGAACACACGAGAATGACATGACCTGTCAACAACCTGAAATCTCCAGCAAAGCTAGGGTAAAGGCCACCAGAGTATCATCGGTGACGCTCGAGCAACAAACAGTTGGATCAAATAATCAGTGAGTGAGGCAACCTGAATGCTGAGCACCTACTCGCATGGCTAGAGCAAACCTCAGCCCCAAATTCTCTGAGAAAGGCCCATGGTTCGATTGTTGCAAAACAAACGTAGGAAATACTTGAAAGTCAATACTATTATAGGAAAGGATGTTTCAACAACAAGCACCAACCATGGTTTGGTTTCGGTCACTTCCCTCAAGCATCACATGTCTTGGGTAGGCAAAGTAATAGTAAGGCATGTACACCTCGTGCCAAACTATGACAACAATAAGAACTTGAAACGGAAAGCGCTATATGCAAACTATTACAGTAACTAAATTCTACTTTATGCATGCACCGTGCACGGCTTATACTTCAAACATGTTGAAACCATGCAATGCATTGGCATGTTTTTCCCATCTGCCAAATTGTTCGGAACTTCCAGGCACCCAAAGCACCAGCTCTTGACCAACCTCCGCCCAATGTCCTCCGGTCACGATGCCCCCAGGCCTTCCATCCGGTCTGAGCGGCGTTCCAAGTTCACCACCTCAAGAACTTTCAACACCGCACGGACACGAGAGAGTGAGGCTGAGAGAGAGAGAGAGAGACACACAGAACAAAAAAGCGTGCCCCCCTGCTGGTTACTGGGAGAGAATTGTTGCTTCATGGAAGAGAAGTGGCCAATTTTGTTTTTGAAAATATACAGAATCCAATGGAAATCCCTTTGAAAAGTGGCGCTTCGCTGAGTTTTTGGGTGAGGCATGCACCCTGCCTCAGTAACAATAACATGGATGGGAGCATGACCCCCTGCAATACACTGATTCTTTTCACAGGAGCCATCTTCCCTTCTATGTGTTGGTGGGTGGGTGTCGAGGAAGTCTAGTGCTGTGGGTGATTGGGTGCTCGAGGTGCCGAAAGGGTTCGCGCCCATGGTCGCCCCATAGGTTGCGAAGAGGTTCTCAATCTATCAGTTCATTAACATCCCCTATAGGTGAGTCTGACAGTCTAACAGCACTTCGCTCTAATAGAGCAGCAATCCCCTTACATGGGGTTGATGTAAATGCTCTTGATTTGATACAGCGCCTCTGATACACCGCCTGAGAGATGCGAACGTAGGACCGATCCATTGCCATGAAAAGAACCACAACAAAAGAAGGACATCCATTGGACGATGCAAGAATGACTGTGATTCATGACAGTTTGCCAAATATCTTTGATATACTCATATTTGTTCCACCACCCGGACATGGGTAATTTATCCCAACTTTCAGTGCTCTTGTCCCACTTGCGGAGACCTACCTGGGCCTCCGGACCACAGTTTTCAGCTCCGACAAGTTCGGGCGCGCGGTTGAAATCGCGCGCGGCAGGCGCTCGGCGGTGCGTGCCGGGGTAGCAACAGACGTGCGACCTCGGGCTGTTCCAGGGGTGGCACAGTTCTGCAATGGATAGTCATACGATATTCAAGCTATATAGCTGTGTGCCCTTAAATGAGTCAGCCATATTGAAATGAGCAACCAAAATGTGAAGTGAGATGTTAACCTCGTGTGGTTACAATGTGAACAGAAAGGATTCATGGATAGAAGATGATAGAAGCATCCCCCCAATATCTCTTTTTTGGCGGGGCGTCCAGAGGCTTTACCCTACAGCAGCGAGAGTCGAAATACAGATCCCACCATTATCCGCGGCACGAATAAATACCACTACACCGTCAAGTCCAAAAACACAATCCCTGGAAAATTAACATGGAACCTGAAAACTACTGGGTCGTAGAGAGAAAAATCGTCTTCCAGTCTGGTCCATGCCATCAGGTTCCGTGTTAGTCTTCCACAACATGAACTCCGATCCCCTCTGTCAAACGGCTGGTTTTCCGTCGCAATACCTATCGGACCTGTTTTTCTTTTCCGGTCGGAACTCACCACACGAACTCTCCACGAAAAGGCACGTAGAACGTGAAAACAGGGTGTTGGAGTCATCCGAAAAGCTGGTCAATCTGATATCGAACTAGAACATGTGGAATTCAATGCTCTTTCGAATGTTGGAGGGTCGTTTTGAACATGTTTCTGACTCTTAGCACCAAATGTAACCGCCTCCTGGGAGGTGAGTCGAGGTCATCCCACGCCTTCTCACCCCTTGAGTCTCCAACGTCTGAGGCATGGGGCGAGAAGGGTCTTGCCCTGACCGCCCGGAAGGGGCGGTGTGGGAAGGAGACCAGCGGTCGCATACAAAGTCACCCGTTGATCCAACAATAGAAGGGACATGGATGGCATGACACCTGGGAAATCTCCTCTCACTGTCACTTCCATGCTTGCTGGTGGGAGGACAAGCACATCGACCAATGAACGTGCAGCAAATCGATTCGGCTGCTGCCAGCTGCAGCACTCCACAAATGGATTCTAGATCATTCTTCCTAGTAGACTCGAGGTAATCTGAGTTTTGATGGGTGAAACATGGTGAAACTGGGGGAATGAGGGCAACCATGATTCTCCAATCTGTAGTTACCAGCATTCTGATGTCATCGGCACGGTTGGACCCTCTAAACTCACCCTGAACGTATAGGATGTGGGTCCAGGGGTCTTGGATGTGGGCACATAGCTATCTGGTGTTTGTTCCAAACACACCGAGCCTCTTTTGGGTACAAGGAGCCTTGCAAGCCAACTACCGAGTGCTTTGTTTGAAGTGGTTTACCTGTCACCTGCCTCACGGTCCAACTAGATTTGTATTTTTTTCGGGGGGGTCACCGGTCATCCAGTGACAAGCGCAAAAGGTTTTGGGCAAACCCAGGGTCTGTGCGGCTTGGATCTTCCAAGAAGCGCCTGGTGTGGCCTCTTACGTCCATTCTGACTGAGCATGGCTTGTCGGCTCCTGAGGCGTGGCTCCGTTGGACAGGTCCACTCAAAAAATCACTGGTGCAGGGAATGAGGGTGGCTGGATTCCTATGATTCCTTTAAAGGAATTTGTAGTGAAATCCTATGAAATCCTCATGCCTGCTCATTCGACTCATGACTCAGGACCAACTTGCAACATGTCCTTCCTTGGCATGTCCCGCCGGAATGGAAGCAGTTCCCCAAAACAGTTGCAGTAAATTCAAGGAGCATTAGATGGCGCAATCCCCAAAAGTTATTTTCTTAACGGACCCCCATAAAATAACTTTGAAAAAACACTTGGCGTCCTTTGGGTTTGTGCCATCTATTCTGAAACCACGGTATAATGGACTGGGCAAT